TGGTCAGTACCGTTGAGGACCTCGGTGCAACCGTGGCCTTGTGCACCAAGCCCAGTGCGCTCTGGACAACTGGAGCAGGCTCCAGTGCTAGGAGCTGGAGAACCAATTCCAACAAGAGGAGCTTCAGCCTAGAATTTCTCTCCCTCTTAGTTCTGGACTCAAGCCCCTACAAATATTGCAGCTGTCTGCAAGGTGACCTTCTCCCAGACTTCAGATGGGAGACAAAGCAGGAACTCCCTCTGTGACTACAAACTATACAACTACTTACTAACTGCTAAGTATTATAAACACTTAAACAACAGCAGCACTACGAAAGCTATCTACAAATGAGTTGAGAGTAGACTTAGAAACCAAGCTGAGAATGTTCTAATAACCGTCACAGGGGATAAAAAGGAACTGAGGGCATGAAGGGTTAGCAGGAGTATATATGTGCCGATATAGTGGCACCACACCAGGGGGTCCCTGGCTGGCCCAACTGGTACGGCTGAGGGTAAAATCTTCTGATTATTCATGCACGCAGTGCGCGCAAACATATGTGGAATGGACATAAGAAAGCACTTGAAGAACTGCAGTTACTGCACAAGGTGAGTAACCTTCCCTCCTTTTTCAAGAAGTGTCCCTGTGGGTGCTCCATCTTAGGTGACCACAAAGTAGTCGTTGTGCTTGGTGGAGAGTGCTTTGGTAAGCTTGGCTTGACCGTAGATAATACAATAAATTCAAATTGTGCATAAGAAGTTGAGTAGGTCTCTGTGGTGTATAGGTTGGTGAATGTATGTGCCGATGTCTGCTTTGCAGATGTCATTTGTAGGCACACCCTTGAGGAAGGCTGGGGATGCCACCACTGATCTTGTTGAGTGGGTCCGTAATGCTGTTGGGGGCTCCTGTTGAAAGTTGTTGTATGATAGGCATATACATTTGGAGATCCATTACGAAAGTCTTTGTTTTGAGATAGGTGTTCCCTGAGATCTCTCCGTGGTTTAGATGAATAGTCTTGGCAACTTCTGGAAGGATTTTGTGTGTACAGGTAAAAGGCAATTGCCCTGCGGATGTCTAAGGTATGTAGGATTGCCTCTCTGTTGTCCTTATGAGGGTTGGAACAGAAGACAGATAGGTAAAATTTGGGTGTGGGTGAAAGACTATTTTATCTTTATGGAAAATAGTACAGGGAAGGTTCATCATAAGAGCTCCAAGTTCACCAACCCTGTGTGCTGATGTGATGGCCACAAGAAAGGAAACCTTCACAGAGAAGTGATGCAATGAGCAAGTGGCCAAGGGTTCAAATTGTTTACCCTTTATTGCTCTCAGTACTAAATTTAGGTCCTGTAATGACAGAACATGCAGTCATTACAACTAAAGCCCTGTTCAACAGCCTGGATCTACAAATAAACCTCCAGAAATGCACTCTCATTCCCACTCAGCACTTGGAATTCATAGGAGCACAGCTGATTTGTACAACAATGACAGCATCACTACCAATACAGAAATTCACAGCAATTGTGGACCTTTTAGTAAGCAGTCATCCAGGTATGGGAAGATGGTAATTCCCATTTTGCACAATTTTGCTGCCACCAATGCTAGGACTTTGGAGAAAACCTGGGGGCTATTGAGAATCCAAACGGCAGTACTCCACGCTGGAAATTGTGGTTGTGAATGGCAAATCAGAGGAAATGCCTGAGTGCCAGCTGTATAAAAATGTAAAAGCATACATCCTATAGATTGAGGGTAGACAGCCAGTCTCCCTTCTCCAAAGCAAGGATTATGGTGGCTAGAGTCACCATCCTGAATCATTGTGTGCAAATGAACTGGTTGAGGTTGCAGATATCAAGTATGGATCTCCACCCACATGTTTTCTTGGTTGTAAGAAAATAGTGGGAGTAAAACCCCTTGCCACTGTGTTCTCAGGGTATGTGCTCTATGGCTCCCAATTGCAGTCTAGTTCCTGCATGAGAACAGCTCTGTGAAGGGGTATACAGGTAGGGAGGGTGGGAAGCAGGGGTAACTATAAAAGGGATACAGTAACCAGTTTGCATCCATCTGTCCATGGAGATGTTGTGCCATACTTGACAGAATGAGGCTAGTCTGTTTTCTCTTCATGACGGGAATATATGTACTGAGGGTTTTGAGTGTGGAGCGCAAGTCTTACAGGGAGTGAAGAGAGGCATCTGTGGATTCGACAAAGAGTTTCAACCATACAAAGGACAAATCTTCGACTTCAGACTGAACCTACCTGGGAAAACTGGAAATCTGTAGCCATGACGCTCATCTCATGATCACTGCGGAGTAGATGGATCAAGCTGTTATATCAGCTGAGTCCAGTGTGGCCTGTAGAACTGTGCAGGAGATTAGAACACCTCCATTGATCTTGGCTCTGAACTAATCTCGTTTATTGTCTGGCAAAAACTCAATAAAATATGTCATTTGGTCGAAGATGTTATGTGCATACCTTGCCAGGGGCACTGCATAATTAGAAATGCATAGCTGGAGTTTGCCAGATGGTTCTTGCTGGGTCCATAAGGGCATCATTTATGGAAGGGTTAGTCTAGCATGTGGAGAGGCATGGAGTATGTCTGTTAGCTTATGCTGATTCTCCGGCATGCTTGTGGAAGAATCACCAAGGAGTCTATTACCCTTCTAACCAGCTCCTGAAAGGATTTGAAATTGTCCTCTGCAGTTGGAGGTGAAGGCATTTTAGTGTCATCCAGTGATAAAGATCACAAGTGTGGGGGAGAGTCAGATGGTGTTCCTCCCCGGTCACATCAGGATCCTCTTCATCCTCAGTCATAGACTGGTTGGGTGACTGAGTAGTTGGTTCCTAAAACCTGGGTGCTGGGGAAGGCTGTGGTAGCTGTTGAGGTTGCTGTGCATGGTATGTAGCCCAAGGATCCCAGTATGGCCAGTTGGGAGAGACTGGCGATGGTAACCACTAGAGGAGTTGCCACTGAAGAGATTGTTTGCCTGGCCTTGATGAGGAGTGCTTCGGGGTATGTAACTCCAGGAGCTCCTCTTCCTCATCACTGGAGAGTGGTGGAGCAGATCCCACTGGCGTAGAGGAGAGGCTGAAGCGAGAGGTGTTCGGGGTGCCTTTGGTGCACTGTGGTCTGCGCTGACGCTGCAAAGTCAGTAACAATGGGGTCAATGTTTCTCAGGGTGATCAACTTCCGTAGCAGGATGGTGTTTATGGAATCATAGAAACATAGAATCATAGGGTTGCAAGAGCTCTCAGGAGGACACCGAGTCCAAGCCCCTTTCCAAAGCAGGACCAACCCCAACTAAACCATCCCAGGCAGGGCTTTGTCAAACTGGGACTGAAAAACCTCTAGTGACAGAGTTTTCACCTCCCTGCCTAGGGAACCCATTCCAGTGCTTTACCACCCTCCTAGTAAAATAGTTAGTCAAACCTGCGTGAGCATGGCTCCAATAGTCGGCCTCCCCATGCCAAACTGGTTCTTGACAGAGCAATAGCTGTACAGTGCGACAAGTTTCAATAGTTCAATGGCAATGCACTTCTGCAGGAGGATGGCAGGTTTCATGTGGGTGTCCAGTCGCTGGAGGTCAGGCGTGAGCCACTCAAGAGCTCCAGGAAGGAGGACTTCCACAGCAGGAGGTCAAAGAGTCTGGCACTGCTTTGCAGCAGCTCCAGCTTCATGTTGGAAGTTCTGTGGCGTCCACAAGGGCAACCAGAGCAAGCGGCATGAATTTGCTATCCCTCAAGGAGGTAGGCAATGGAGAAGAGGAGTGTGAGACACTGCTGTAGAGAGGAGCCCCTTTAAGCACAAGTCTCAGCTAGCCTCAGGAAGCAGCAGCAGGAAGTGACTGCCGTCCTGATGCCATCCCCAGAGTTCTTCCAGGGGGCTTTAAATGTGATTCAAGCGCCAATCAGTGTGGACACACTATTTCAATATAATTCTGTGTTATTTTGATGACGATCTGTAGTGTGGATGAGCCATTTTAAAATAGTTATTTCAGAAGTTATTTTTTCAAAATAATCATAGGCTGTGTCTACATTGGCACCCTTTTCCAGAAAAGGGATGCTAATGAGACACTTCAGAATTGCAAATACCGCGGGGGATTTAAATATCCCCCGCGGCATTTGCATGAACATGGCTGCCGCTTTTTTCCAGCATAAGGGATCTTCCGGAAAAGGGCTTATTTTCTGCAAGATCCCGTCTAGACTGGCACTTTTCTCCGGCAAAACCCCGAGCCGGAAAAAAGTGGCAGGGGTTTATTCTCTGCAAGATCCCATCTAGACTGGCGCTTTTCTCCGCAAAACCCCGAAGCGGAAAAAAAGTGGCAGCCATGTTCATGCAAATGCTGCGGGGGATATTTAAATCCCCCGCGGCATTTGCAATTCTGAAGTGTCTCATTAGCATCCCTTTTCCGGAAAGGGGTGCCAATGTAGACACAGCCTCATATTATAGACATAGGTTTAGACTGGGAAGACATGGAATTTTATTTCTCTGTACTACAATTAGATATTTCACGTGGAGGGATAACTACAGTGCTCTCCACATGATATAAAGTTAAGCTGCGATGGGGAATGGAATTGGCTGTTTCCAGGTTGTTTGCTGAAAAGAGTGAGTTCTTGGCATAATTAATCCAGGGAAATAGCTCAGAGTCAGGTAGTTTGGTGGGTAACATACAAGGCAGAGTGCTCACATCTGAGGAATATGTTGGGAATGGTCAGATGCATGCAGTGAGACTGAAGATAGTAACTAGAAGCTCAGAGTACCAAGGAGATGGAGAAGTTATTATTGCAAGAGACCTGGGGCAAAATGATGTGGACATTATGCACAAGAGAGCTATCAAAATCTGTAAATCATCAAAGCAGGAAATTCGGCCTATATAATAGTTCCTGCCAATTTTTTCTCCTAATATCAGTCTTTACAACATTTTTAATGAAGTCCAGAATACATTATAGTATTTTTCAGCCACAAACAGCTGTGTCTGAATTCCTAAAAATGTTAAGAAACTATCAAAATAAAAATCATATTAATATAAATATTCCTTGTGTCCTGAATTTTTAGATTATTAATAATGAAAATGTTTATAAAACATAATTTATTTTTCAAAAATCAGTGTTTGTTTACTATTTTCATAACACTCATCTTAGTAGAATTAGACTCATTACTTTTCATGTAAATCTCTCGATTCTCATACATAGCATCATGTTTCAGATACTATAAGGGAAAGTTTATTGTCTGGCAATAAATAAAGCTACAGGGAGAAGACATGGAATAGGAGACATGTAGACCAAGCCTATATTAGCATTCCCTACCCTGTGCTGATCCTTCCACAGACTAGAATCCACAGGTAAAAATTAGTCATACTGCACTGGGAATCTGGGCCCTTGTTTTCATTGAAACAGATTGGAATAAAAAGGAGGAAATTACATTTTTCTATTAATGTTTGGTTTTCTAAAAATCTTTTAAAAGTACAAAACAAAAATTCTGTCCTGTTCTTCAAAAATCTAATGTAATTTCATGGTATCATATGAATGGCTAACAACACTCAGTAACCTTGATTCCCAAACCAAACTTGATTACACATAATTAAGTATGGTGTGCACCAAATGTGTCAACATTGCAGCTTTAGAGGTTAAGAGAGCCCGCAAGCCTAAGATGGCACATCTAGTCTCCAGCAGAAGGAAATGTAGTTATCCTGGCTGGCAGATTTTCTAAGGTGCGGAATATGAATTAGGCTTTGTAGCTGCTCATTAAATCTGGACATATAAATTAGTATAAAATAACAAATGTCTTGGAATTTCTAAGAGCTTTTTTTATCATTCCCTGTTTAATTTTAAAATGTTTATCTGTTTTCCACATCATAATATCAAAGTCCTTACACTGGTTAGTATCACTCATAATGGGTACAAATCTATCATCTTTATTCTCTAAGAATGAGAGTTACAGAAAGCAGGAACGTGTCCCCAAAAGGGTTTCTAACATATTTCTCCACATATTTCTAGTAAATTATTAGGAGTAACTATTTATTCATCCAGGGTCTTACATTGTATCAGCACTATAGTGTTTAATTTCCACGGCATCCGAAGACAAATATTTAATGATCAGGAGTTGAAAAAGATCCACACATACCATAAAATACAGGGATATATAAATAAGCAATATTTCATTAGAAGGTATATATACGTCTCTAGTTAGTAGATAAAAAGTTATGTAATTTGAATATTATTCTCTTTCATATGGAAGACAGAACATGGGAGCTCAGTAAAAGACTGTACTTGAAGAGGTATAAATATAAATTCAATAATTTTGTGTATATTAACATTTTTCAGCTAATAATTATTTAACAACAAATACAAGTTAAAAGTGAAAATATGCCAAAACAAATCTCATGTTTGCCTTTGATCTTTAACTTGTAGCCTTATCTCCCAGGTCAAAGGACACATTATTCAATTTCACCACATTTTGTGTAAAACTACTGTAGCGTTGAAGATGACTTTCAGTACAAATGTCATGGTACTTAAAGCTAAACTGGACTCTAGTTTTTGAGCTTCTTAATTAAAATCACAGTTTATAATGGTCTGACAATATTATCTTTATTCTTTCCAGTTGAGCAGCAGCAGAATTGTTACAGCATCTATTCAATCAAGCTTAGCAATGTTTCTGCAGCTCGCTCTTTCACTTCCTAAAACACCACAAGATTCAGAGTGACTAAATTTTTCACCCTATATGAATTTATATTCACTATCTGAGGGAGTAAGTTGTTTTTCCCCTAGTTTTTATGTCCTTGGATCAAATCTAAATTCTATTGAGGAACTAATATTTAAAAATAACTCTAGCCTCCCAATGTCATATCCTTTTTGCTAAAATATTAACTTTTAGATACATCATTGTCCCTATCTGTCCCATGTTAGTGCAGAGAACTCCAGGCCATGCCTTATCATTATAAAGATAAAGTAATATTGTTATTCTGTTTATATTCTGCACAAAAACATCTATGCTGATTCTAATAAGCAAAAGTTGAACAAGCTATACCTACTTTACAAATTAAGGAATATTTCAATTTTAGAAAAAATTCCAAGTATTAAAAGTTTTTATTAACAACTCTTCAATTGTCAGAATATACTAAAAAAGAGCAAAAACTAAAGCATTTGGCATAGAAAACAATGTGACCATTTTCTTTTAGTTAGGTCTAAACAAATAATTACTTTTCATAGCTTATTTATAAAATACTGCCAGTAATTTCATTATAATTTTCCCAATATGTCATCATTTTGTCGTCATAAAAATTGTCAGCCTCTTTATTCTCTACTCATCTACAGTGTTTGCAGTTTCTTACCATTTCGTTCAGTTTCTTCTGTAAAGAGTATTTTGAAATCTATAAAAACACAAAAAAGCTATACAATTAATGTTACAGTATAATTTTTCTTTACCAGTCTTTATTAAAGAAGGATTACATATTAAATATTTTATTTGTATTTTCAATATTATTGAAGGATTTTGATAACCCTCTTTTTGGTTCAGTTATTGTAATGGTTTTTTTTATTGTAAGACTAAGATTATAACTTTGTACTTATTGAAATATCTAAAGAATGCAAAATAAATCAGTGAAATACTAATGCAAATTAATATAAAATAATAGAAATATGTAGTGTGACACACATACTATTTTAATGTTTAACATCGTATAAGTCAACACAATATTTTATTAGTAATTTTTTATACGTTTACCTGAATTAAAGACCAAATGTAGTGACCAAATGTGAAAATGTCACCTAATAATGCCTGTGAACCTTTAATGACTTGTACTACTTTAATAAAGTTGTTTTACACCATATATTATTGTAAATAAATTAGATCTCAGTCCAATTTTCAACTAAGACAATAGCAGAATTCCTATTGACTTTAAAAGGAATAGGAGAAAATCTTCATTGTTATATTATAATAAAGGTATCCAAATTTAGGTCCTGTACACAATACTTTATTCATAGTTAAACATATAGTAGGCGTGCTAAAATGTGATATACATTTCTCCCCCATCAGCAGCATATTCCTAGCACAGAATTTGGAGGGAGCTATATTTAGCCCTCAATAGATGAAAGTGAAGGTTACTCATCTCTGCAGTAACTGAGGTTCTTCAAGATGAGTGTCTCCATGGGTGCTTCACTCCAGGCATTAGTGCATCCCTGCACCTTTGCAGCAGAGTACAGGTGTCACACATGTGGACATGGTTTGTCTTGCAGACCCCCCTCTGTTTAGAGAGCCGCACACAGGACCCAGAGCTATGAAGTCCCTTTCTACCATGGAGGCACTGAACTCTGAAGTAATGGGGCAAAGAGCAGGTAGTTGAGTACCCACAGGAACACTCATCTTGAAGAACCTCAATTACTGCACAGGTGAGGTACCTTCACTTCTTCCTCAAGAGGTGTCCCCATGAGTGCTCCACTCTAGACAATTCGTAGCAGTGTCCTTTAGGATGGGAAGGACTTCAGAGCTGGAGGATAGCCATTGAGAGTACTTCAGTGTCCAGGAGTGTATCCATCTGAGACACTTGGGTAATGACATAGTGACAGATAAAGGTATGTTTTGATGTCCATGTGACTGCCTTACATATGTCAGTCAAGGGCACATTGCACTGGAATGCTACTGATATGGCCACCCCTCTGACAGAGTGTGTGCATATAAGCTGTGATGGCTGCATTCCTTGCAGTTGATAGCAGAGCCTTATCCAATCCACTGTACAATTAGAAAGTCTTCATGTGGATATTGGGTCACCATTGAACATTCAGCTATGGTATATGGTTTTGGGAAGAATACTGGGAGATGTATGGGTTGGTTAATGTCAAAAGAAGCATAAATCTTAGGGAGAAATTTATGGTGGGTTCTCAGGTTAACCTTATCCTTGAAAAAATATAGTGTTTGGTGGAAGTGACTGCCATAAGGAATGAGACTTTCATAGATACATGCAGTAATGAGCAGGTGGTTAGTGGCTCAAATGGTTTGGGGGGAGAGCTGTGAAGACCAGATTCAAGTTCCAGGGAGGGACCGAGGGTGAGACGTCCAGGTACAGCATGGTGTAATGCCCTTTTAGAGCTTTTGGTAATAGGGTGAGTAAACACAGTGGCTGTGTCTACACTGGGCCACTTATTCTGGAAAATCAGCCGCTTTTCCGGAATAAGCTGCGAGCTGTCTACACTGGCCCTTGAATTTCCAGAAAAGCAACGATGCTCTACTGTACAAAATCAGCCGCTATTCCGGAAAAACTATTCTGCTCCCACTCGGGCATAAGTCCTTATTCCAGAACACTGTTCCGGAAAAGGGCCAGTTTAGACAGCCCAGTAGTCTTTTCTGGAAAAAAAGCCCCGATCGCGAAAATGGCGATCGGGGCTCTTTTCCGGAAAAGCGCGTCTACATTGGCCACAGACGCTTTTCCGGAAAAAGGGCTTTTCTGGAAAAGCAGCCTGCCAATGTAGACGCTCCTTTTCCGGAAAAACTGAAAACGGAATAGTATTCCGTTTTAAGCATTTCCAGAAATTCATGCCAGTGTAGACACAGCCAGTGTTATTGTCTGTTTTGAATAGAATGTAGTGGTAGCTACTAGATAGAGCTGAGGGAATGGCCAAATTATTTTAATGTAAGGAAATAGTCCAAGTTGAGGAGAAGTGGTGCTGTTCTGGGATCTATTTGTTTTGCAGTGCAACAGGCATTAAACCTGCTCCATTTACACAAAAGCTTCAGAGGGGTAGCTGAGTCAGTCAGGAATATGAAAAAACACCTCCCTGACCAACATGAGTTTCACCAACCAAAATGCCAGTACAGACAGTGCTGTGTCAGCAGGAGATGCTCTCCCACTACCACAGCTACTACAGCTTGTTGGAGGTGGCTTAATTATGCCAAAAGTAAAGCTCTCTCCCATCGGCACAGGGTAGCGACATGAAAAACCTAACAGCAGTGCAGCTGCAACACTAAATCTGTGCCACTATAAGGTCCATAGTGTAGGCATAGCCAAAGTCATAGTAACTAGCCTAAAAAAAATCTGCATACCCAACCTTGAATGTCATAATTCCATAAAGAATAGCATTAGTTGTTGCACTTATGATAAAGTTAAGCCATAATTACAAGAATCTGGGGGCTATTCATAAATAATACGATTTACCCATGCCAGCATTCGTCTGAATGTCTTATGCATATATGGCAGCCGGAATCTATACAAAAATACTAGTCAAAAGCTTGGATGTTGGCATATGAGTGCCATTGCCACTATCTCAAGATCCATTTGAGAATATTAGGTCATGCCAACACCATTGCAATGACTGCCCTTCCTAATATCATCTTAGTTATAAAACAGGTGACCAAATGAAGTTTAGGTCAACTCTTCCATTTAAAAAAAAATATATCCACAGTTCAATGTATTATACTCTGATACAGAGGCAGCAGCATGAGGTGGCAGCAACCCCTCTCTGCCATGGTCTGAGCCCCTCATGGGCAGAGGCTGGGAGCTTGGAGCTGTTGACAAAGGCAGCAGCATGGGGTGAGGGGGCAGGTGACATGAGGGAGCTGATGCTGGAGGGAACCAGCTTTTAATCCAGCTCCCTCAAGCACCAGCTCTTGCCTCTCCCTGCCCACTGCCTCTATAGGAGGCAGCAAGGGAAGGGGCAAGTGGGTCAGTGGGAGCTGATACACATGGAGAGCTGGCTTGAAAGCTGGTTCCTCAAGTGTGTTGGCTCCAGCCTGCCCCTCTCACTCTCCATGCTGCTGCCTCTCTATCAGGCAACAGCGCGGAAGTGGGGATGCAAGTAGATTTGATGCTTGTGGGGAGCTCCCATTCCCCCCTTCCCACACTGCCTCTCATACAGAGGCAGCAAGGGGGGGAAATGTGTGTAGTTGACAATATTAACCAATAAGCCATGCTTATCAGTTAATCATGTGTTCATCTACACACTGACATCCCTAGCCTTGTGTAGACAAAATAAAATGCTGTATATAACTCACAGCTTGAAATGTGTAGCTTGACCTGATATCAAATAGTGATTACCTCAATCAGTACAAACAGTGACTTTGTCAGGCAGGGATCAGAATTTGTGTTTGTTAGCTGTGCACTATGTGGAAAGATGGTAAACTTGTGACAAAATCAGGTGCAGAGGCAATAGCAGCAGTGTGGGGCCCATTGTGGCCTCCTGTTTAGGAGTCCCTCCAAGGCCAACACTTCCAGAGAGTTGTAGAAAACTCCACTTCACTTTTCTGGTAGCCAGAGAAGAAGATTTCAGAGAAAGAGGAAGGCTGTGTCCCAGAAAGAGCAAAAGCTGGGAGAATTGTATACTTAGTCTTTCCAGAAGGGAAGAACTAAATTAAAAAACCCTGAGAAATAAAGACAGACCATAGACTGATGAGGGAAACTTAGGTAGCAGGTGAATCTGGTTGCTTGGAAGTAAGGTGTACCTGTACAGGAAAAAAGAAAATAAGAGCTTATAGAAGATGCTTTTAAAAAAAAACAACTAATAAGAGTTATGAGTACTGAATTTAACAATAAAGTTAATTTACCTGTAATGTTTTTAATGTTTTTTTCAGCCCATCAATTTCTTTTTCTTTTGTTTCTACAGCAAGCTGAAATTTGCCCTTTAGATCAGAAGTCATATTTTAGCATTTGGAAATAACCAAAGACATTATGACATAAACTTGTCAACCACAAGTATAAAGAAGATAAAGCACTTCTCTACTGTGACAGATTCTTGACCATGGAGAACAATCGGCATACAAAACAATCATGTAGCACTTAACTAAGTCAATATATGGAGTATTTAGAAATGTGCTAAGAAGAGACTAAAACTGAGAGCACAAAGGTGATTTTTTCCCCCACTTACAAGTAGTCAAGGAACCTGGGATGCTAAGTGGATTATTTCCTGTATGGCAGAGAAATTTGAGGCATAAACACAGGATTAACAAATAATCCCACCTTTGAAACAAGATATTAAACACCAAAACAGCAAAACATAGGTCCATTTACCTATAAATTTGACCAACATCTTCTGAGAAACAGAGAAGAGGAAGTTACTCACTTTTAGCAGTAACTGACATTCTTCAATATGAGCATCTCTGTGGGTGCCCCACAGTAGGTTGGTGTGTCCCACTGTCACAGACTGGAATCTTCAAAGCAGTGCCTGGTGGGGGCTGTGCATACGCAACAGCAGGGCGCATGAGCGCCACATGGTGCAACCATGCATGCACGGCCACCCTCCCCTCACTTCCTTCTCTATCCAGAAACCTGGCCTATGGAAAAAAGGTCTTTGAAGTAGAGGGGAGAAAGGGAGGGTAGTGGAGCACCCACAGGAACGCTCATCTTGAAGAAGGTCAGTTACTGCTAAAGGTGAATAACCTCCTCTTCAAGAGAGAGACGTCCTTGTGGGTGCTCCACAGCAGGTGACTACAAAACTGTATGTTCTAAGGAGGCAGAGACTTTGGTTCTGGCAGATAAACTGACAGCATGGCCTGGGTGACCCTCAGTGAAAAGAGAGGTCCATGAGAAAGCGCATAGTGCTTTGCAAATGTTTGGTCAGAAGCCATGTGGCTGTAGCACACATGTCCTCAAGGGGGACCTTGCAGAGGTAAGCTACAGACATTGCCATGGCTCTGGTGGAGTGGGCTCGGATGGAGGTAGGTGGAACAAGCTGATTGTGATGGTAGCATAAGGCTATGCAGTCAGAAATCCAGTCAGACAGTCTTTGGGAGGATATCTGCTGTCTTTTTTTTCATCCTGAGATGGATATGAAAAGTCTGAGCAAAGCCCTAAAGGGCTTCATTATGTGAATGTAAAATGAGAGAGCCCTATGGACATCTAGTGTATGCATCCTTGCTTCGAAAGTATTAGCATGAAGTTTAGGGGAAAATACAAGTAACTGAACAGTATGGTTTATGTAGAAGTAAGAGTGTACATTGGGGAAGAATTTAGGGTAGGTACATAGCATGATTTTGTCTTTAAAAGAGATGGTGTATGGAGGAGCCGCCATCAGGGCTGCCATTTCTCCCACCTGCCTGGCGGATGTAATTGCAACTAGAAATGTGGTCTTCATAGAAAGGTAAAGGGAGCAGGTGGCCATTGGCTTAAATGGAAGATTGGTCAGTGCACTGAGAACGAGATGAAGGTCCCATGATTCCCTTGGTGGAATTACTTCACTATATAGTGCTTCCTGAAGCATTCTGTCACTGGATGGGCAAAAATTGTACTATCATCTGTTTTTTAATGGAATGTGGTTATAAAAGCTAGGTGCACCCTAATAGAGCTGATGGAAAGGTTGGACTGCTTTAGGCGCAGGAGGTAGTCAAGGATGACAGGTAATGGGGCACTTTCAGGAGAGATGTTACACAGGATGGTCCAATGTGCAAAACATGTCCACTTGTCAGAATATGTTTTCCTAGTCGAGACAGCACGACTGTGTAGAAGTATATTGTGTACTTAGTCAGAACATTGTAACTGTATGCATAAGAGTGATCCAGCCTTTGGATGGGGTCTGAGGAACCACTGGTGTTGGCTCTGTACGCCTGGTTGATATAACAGCCTGGGTTGCGTGGCAGGGAGATCAGCGAAAACAGTACCATTATGCTGAGAAAAGGGAACCAGGGTAGTCTGGGCCAGCATAGAGCTATTAGAATGACTCTGGCGTTGTCCATTTTTATCTTGAGTATCATGCAAAGAAGGAGAGGAATGGAAGGGAAGGTGTAGAAGAGGCAATGGTTCCATTTTTTGCTGAGAGCACTTCCAAGGGAGTCTTTGCTTATGCCTGCCCAGGAGCAGTAAGGGGGCATTTTTTGTTGGTGCTTGTTGCAAAAAGATCCATTAAAGGTTGACCCCAATGTGTGAAGATTGCGTCCAATGTCTGTTAGTCTACCTGCCACTTGTGCTGTTGAGGTAATGATCTGATTAGTGCACCTGGTAGATAACAGGCACTGAGAGTGATGACATGGGAAAGGCTCCAATTCCACAGGGTAATAGCCTCTGTACATAGGGCATGGGAATGGGCTCCTCCTTGTCTATTTATATAAAACATGATGGCAACATTGTCAGTATATATCTTGACATGCTTGTGTGCTATTGATGGGAGGAAGTGTTGGCAGGCTAGTCTTACAGTTCTCAGTTCTAGTATATTTATGTGGAAAGCCCTTTCCTTCTGTGTCCAGAGGCCCTGAGTTAGATTTCCCATGTGCGCTCCCCAGCCCGTGTCGGAGGCATATGTTGTAATGACGATGGAGGGTTCTGGTGGTTGGAATGGAATTCCTGCACATAATTTCTGTATCTTTGTCCACCACAGTAGTGCGTTTTTTTACCATGGACGGGATGGAAAGAGGCTTACTAAGGGGATGATAGTTTGGTCTATAGACCATGCTGAGTCAATCCTGTAGGAATCTCATTAACAGATGTGCATTGGGGACCACTGGGTTGCATGCTGACGTGTCCAAGCAACTGAAGGCAATCGTGTGCTGTTACCTGTGGCATCATGCATGGCTTTTTGACCAGGTCCCTGATCTTTTTGAACCTTTCAGTGGGCATGGAAGCTATTGTAACTGTTGAGTCGAATTAAGCCACTATACACTGTATGGACCTCACTGGCATGAGTACGGACTTTGTTTCATTTATCAGTAGGCCCAAGGATTGAAAGCAAGTCATGTCCATGTGAATGTTGTGATGGGACTGTGTCTGTGGCCTGAATTTGATCAGGCAGTTATCGAGATAAGGAAAAATAATGATATTGAGTTTCCTTAGGTAGGCAGTGACTATTACAAGCATTTTAGAGAAAACTCTCAGTGCTGTGGAGAGTCCAAATGGTAGGACCTAGGGTAAAGCAAAGAAAATGCCTATGAGTAAGATAAGGTAAAGCGCATGTACCTAGGATAAAGCAAAGAAAGAGCCCATATATAGGTAGTGCATGTACCTAGGGTAAAGCAGAGAAAATGCCTATGAGCAAGATAAATATGGACATGAAAATAGGCATCCTGTAAGTTGAGAGATGAAAACCAGTCACCAAACTCCAGAGCAGAAATTATGGTGTTTTGTTACTCTTCGGAACTTTTGCCTTTTTACAAATTTGTTGAGGGATCTAAGGTCTAAAATGGGGTGCCATCTACCATTCTTCTTTTGAATGAGGAAGTAGTGTGAGTAGAATCCACTCCTCTCATGCCCTTGTGGGACTGGCTCTATAGCACCCAATCTAAGAAGATGGTCAACTTCCTGTTGTAGGATATTGTCATAATAATAGACTCATAGACTTTAAGGTCAGAAGGGACCATTATGATCATCCATCCCTAAAGAGGGATGGAATAGGTGAGTCGGGAGGGGGAATGGAAATAAAGTGGGATAGTATATCCTGAATTAATTGACTGCAGCACTCATTTGTCAGATGTTATGATCTGCTCTGCTGGGTAAAAGGGCAGAAGATGATGGTCAAATGATTTCTCAGAAGTTAGCAGCTCTGGAGCAGGTGAAGATGTTTGCAGTCCCTCGATTAAGGCCTCAAATTTGTTTATTTTGCTGAGGCGGCTGGTTTGCAGTGCTAGTCTGATTGCGTCTGCTCTGCTGCCTACCCTGATCCCGTTGTTGCTGAGGCTGGTGGTCCTCTCTCTGCTGGTGATAAGTATACAAGGTGTACTTGGGTCTTGGATCTGGCTGGTATCTAAATTTTTGCCTTCTATTTGCAAGTGCGTGGATTCCCAGGGAACATAAGGTGGCTCTTGAATCCTTCATGGAATGGAGGACATCATTGGTCTTGGTAGAAAAGAGCTTCTCACCTTTGAAAGGGAGGTCCTCCACTGTAGACTGTATTTCCCTCAGGAAAGCCGAGGAGTTAAACCAGAAGGCTCACCTCATAATGACAACCATGGGTGTTGACCTAGTGGCCGTGTCAGCCGTGTCTAGGGCAGTCTGTAATACTGTGTGTGAATTCGTGTGTCCTTCGGAGATCATTGCATTAAATTGTTGTTTCTTTGCCTCTGGTATATTGTCAATAAAAGTATTAAACTTCAAATAGTTGTTGAAATCATATTTACTAAGCAATGTGACATAGTTGGCAACTCGGAACCAAAGTGTTGAAGATGTATAGACCTTTCTACCAAAGAGGTCTAGTCGCTTGCTGTCCCAGATCATGGCTGGTGTTGCTGATTTCTCTTTTGCGTGGCCTCGACTACTACGGAATTAGGAGGATAAGTAAACAGAAACTCAGTTCCCTTAGGGGGAACATAATATTTTCTATCAGCCTGTTTGCAGGTGTGTAGTATAGTTGCAGAGGTCTGCTAGATCATTTTATCAGGGTCCAAAATCGTGGGGTTAATAGGAAGCGCGATCATGGCAGTAAGAGTGGCCTGTAAAATGTCGGTAAGCTTGTGTTGGGTATTAAAGACCTCCTCCATTGCAATGTTGAGATCCACTGCCACCTTTTTGAAGAGGTCTCGAAAGGTTATGAAGTAATCCACCGCCATTGGAGTTGATGGCATTACTGCTTTGTCTGGCAAAGACAATGAATTAGTATTAGGGGATGTGTCTGGTCCTGATTCACTGTTTTGCTGATCTGGTGCATCTTCCTGCATCCTCTGAGGAGATGGACACTGGCGTGCAGGGGAAGGCACAACCTGTTTGTCTTTTTAGTATGTTTCCTTTTGTACCTGTATGCCCACGGGCTCCAGTACTATCACTAAGCACCATATGGCATGGGTGGTAGCATGCAGGGGTGTGGTCCCCAGGGGGGAATAGTGCCCCCATTGAGAGCCTAAAGGTAGGATGTGAGGACAGTACCAAGACCTTGGTGCCAGGTGAGAGTCAGGGTGAGAAGGATGGCTCCTCTGCATCATCCTCATCACTCCATAAAAGTGTAGGAGAAGAGGCATGTCTCAGTGCTGCTGTGACTGGTGATGTATCAATGCTGAGGAATGGAGAGTTGAGGGTGGAAGAAACAGTGAGTTGCTTATGATGAAGGTACCTTAGTGCTGGTGTAGACAGTGCAATTAGTGACGGTACCAGAGATGGCGCCAATAGCGCGTCATACTTGCCATATGCATCTGGCGTGCCATGACATGCCTGGCACGTCATACGTGCTGAGGTGCGGTGCAGCCTCAACTTTTGGTGCTGACTTCTCAGTAAAGTGCTGCTTTGGCGACTGCAACTTATGAGGTAGAGAGGAGGCGCGCTTCTTTGGGGATTTTTTTCCCTTATCAGATTTCAGTTTTTCAGGCCTTTAGTTGCCCAGGTTAGAGGCAGGGTTCTGTGCCTTTTCAAGCATTAGCACTTTAAGATGGAGTTCTCTATCTCTGTGCATGCATGCCTTAAGCTTAGCACAGTGGTGACAATCCTGCTGCATATAACTCTCGCCTAGACATTTGACACACTTGGAATGTCCGTCAGACAGGCATGGCGTCATTACATATGGTTCAACGCTTAAATCCTGGTGATCCAGGCATTTGTCTGATGAGGGTAAAGATTGGAACAATGAGAAAAAGAACTTGGATAACAGGAGGGTTTTTTTTTTAATTTTCTAGGAAGATGAACTTTGATAGGTAATAAGGTAACAAACAAGGAGAACGGAGGGAAACAAACTACTTATCTATAGAGAACAACGCTGAGTGAAAAGCACTGCTGAGCTCTGTCTTAAGCTGGGGACAGTGAGAAGGAAGTGAGAGGAGGGGGGCTGCACATGAGTGGTTGCACCACGCAGCACTTGTGTGCTCTGCTGCCTTGCATACACAGCCTTCCCAGGCACTGCTTTGAAGATTCTGGTCTGTGGTGCTAGGATGCACCGACACCTTCTGTGGAGCACCACAGGGACATCTCTCAAAGAAGAACTGCAGAGCTCTGTCTCAGGCTGATGGCAGGTGAGAAGGAACTGGAGGGCTTGGGCTACGTGTGTGCAATACCTACTGGCATGCAACATGCTGGTTGGCACTGTGCATGCGCAGTACACACAGGGACTGCTTGAAAATCTCTGAGCCAGGATGGCACCAAGATCAAACATGGAGCATCCACGGGGACATCTCTTGAAGAAGAATAACTTCTATTTATTATTCATCACCTTGGAATCTCTACCCATGGACTAAAAACTACAAATGCCTGTTCAAATACAAATACTACCTTTTTGTAACATCTGAATCTTATATAAAAGAAAAACATATAGTAAAAACTATAATGAATATTTAATCTTTTAACAATATAAATACAAAAGTACACAAATACCCTAAAGCTGTAATTCAAATTGATGCCAAAACATGTTAGAGCTGATTTACTTTCTTTAAGTTTTAGTGCATTACTAATAATAAAACAGGAAGGGTTAAAATATTAATATTGATTTTGATTTCAAGTTATCTGTTTTTTGTCACAGCCTTAACATTATTTACTATTTTCAAAAATAATTTCTTTATTTTGTATCTTTTCTTTAAAAATGTGGCCGTTATAAAATATTCCACCATGAAACTGCATATATGAGAATACTATAGTTTTACAAGACATATTGTTGGGTATGCATATAAGAAAATTAATACTGTTTCCTGCAAATCTTTGATTAAATATAGGATTTGCAAGACAAGTATAACAAAGCCCTAAAAGTATTATATGCCCAAATTCTAACATTAATATTGTACTAATTTACACCCTAATGGATCCCAAATTTAGGGTTTGAGTGCCGTTTTTACGTGAACAGTGTAAGTTTTGCCCGAGGGAGGACTGTAATATGTGCCTTTCTAACTTTTTGTTACAGTGGGAACAGCAGCCAGCTTGCTGCGCACTTCCCCCAGCTCTACCACCTGTCCGTCTGGCAAAGATCCTCGGGCAAAAATGGTCAAGGGAAGATAATGTTCAATGAGCAAATGGACTGGATGAATATGTTCCTGGAGGAGAGAGGGTCCAAGTGCCAGGACAAGGTTGTGGAACGGCAGGAGAGGAGAGCTTGCAGGGAGTTGCAGGTGAGGCAACAGGACAGTATCTTTGCCTCCCTGATGACAGTAATGGAGAGCCTGGCTGTGTGCCTGGAGCATAACCCCTCTCACTCCGAACCCCAATCACCCTATACAAAGTAACTTTTTCCTCCTCCCCACAGTTCCACAGCCTCCATCTCCACAGGCCCCAAGAAGGGGGACGGTCCTCAAGTGCAGCCTTAACTTCTTTTATTTCCCTGCTGTCTTCCCTAATCAATAACAAACAAACAAAACAAAAACATGATCTCTGGACAACAGTCTCTTTATTGCTTGTACTGCAGGGGCAAACTGGAATGAATGCAGAGGCACCTCACTGAAAACAACAAGCATGAGACTCAAAATTGGCCATTCATAAAACTTTCTTTCAAAGCCTCTCTGATTTGTGCTGCCCCATGCTGTGCTCTCCTTATTGCCCTGGTGTCTGACTGATCAAAATTTTTGGCTAGGTGCTCTGCCTCAGCCCCCCTCCCTGTCCGATAAGATTCCCCCTTGCTCTCACAAAGATTATGATGTATACACTGAGGTCCAACCTAGTCAGAAGACTCCTAACCCTTCCCTTTAAACATTTAACCATCATTCTGCACTTCCTCAGCCTGTAGTTGAACTGCTTCTTACTGGGGTCCAGGAGTTCTTAAAGATGCACCATTCTCAATCATCCACGCTGATGTCAGTGAAATAGCTTTTGTGATCTACCAGTGCCTGCAGCACCATGAAGTACCCCCTGTGATTAATGTACTCTTTGGCAAGGTGATCTGGGGGCAGATATGGAGATATGTGTTCTGCCTATCCCCCACCGCAGTTAAAGAATCCCATCACAGCAAAGCCATCTACTACAGTATCCAAGCTTCCCAGAATCACAGCCCTCCATAGCAGAAAGGTATTGATCACCTTTGCTACTTATATAACGAGAGCTCCCACCGTAGTATTCCCCACTCCAAACTGATTTCCAGCTGACCAGTAGCTGTCTGGCATTGCAAGCTTCCACAGGGCTATTGCCATGCGCTTCTCCATGGTCAGAGTGGGTCTTGTTCTGGTATTCTTGTGATTCAGAGTGTGGGAAAGCCATTTGCAAAGTTCCAAGAAAATGGCCTTGTGCATTTGGAAGTTTTGCAACCACTGCTAATTGTCCAGTAGCTGCATCAGAGTGCAGTCCTGCTAGTCTGTGCTTGTCTCACAGCACCAGAACTGGCATTTGTAGGGGATCCTGGACAGCCCTGTCTTGACAATAAATGTCAGCTTTGACCACAGTGCGGATCTCTGAAAAGCAAAACCCAGGACTGTCTCAAGTCTGCAGGACTGTCTCAAGTCTGGTGCACAAAAGCCCACAGGCAAGGCTGGGGAAGCTTTGAGAGGCAGGAATGTTTTCGATTAAGCGGTACTGAGAGACGTCAAGAATACATGATAAACAACCTTGTACTGGTACTTCTGTTTCAGATAAACAAAAATTACAGATGAAGCCATAAAATTGTTAACTACAATTTGCAACATTCTGAGTAGCAGGAAGTACCCAAAATAGGGCCCTAGGTATTTTAGGTATCTTACATAATATGTAATAAATTGGTAAATACTATTAGAATGACCAAGTCTCACTTTGCTATAAAATGGGCTTAGTAAGAAGAATTGATGGAAGGGAGTGAGCAGGATTGACCCACAGGTCCTGCTCGCTGTAACTAGAAGTAAATAGGCCCTTCACATCGGCTACAGCAGTAGATGGCATTCCAAGGGGTGGGAATCAAAGAGACCATGACCTCCTGACTCGTACTGTAGGTAGCATATGGGTGAGGTGTAAGTGAGCTGGCTTTATTATTGTATTATAGTAGATCTTCTATTAATTGCTTTTGCATTGCTTTGCTCTGTATTAATTGCTTTAGAATTTATAGTATTTAAGGTTTAAATTATATAGTAATTGTTTTTAAGGCTTGTAAAACTTAAATAACTATGTTAACTGATTAAATCTTGTAATAAGAAAGCAACTAAGTCTCTCTGGAGTGTCCTAGTTTCCCTTGGATCTAAAATAAATCCAACCACACAAACACATTCCACTGTGTCCCCAGGATTGACTGGTGTTTGCGTTTGCATCAGTGCAAGGGCTTACATGAACAGTGCCATTAGGCACAAAATGGCAGACATCAACATAACAATGGTTTGATGCAAAACAGGATCCATACTGTGCCAAAAAAGTTGTGAAAGGACTGTTTCCCATTGATCTCAAGCAAAGGGGTAGAAAGATGAGTGCATTATGGGATGCTGACGACATGAACCGATAACGTCCCGCTGCAAAGTTCTGGTTCCAGCATGCATTGGGAGCATAACCCAGAATGCAAAGTGGCACAGGCACTATGGGATAGTTACCCACAGTGCATCACTCTCAAAGTCAATGCCAAGCTCCCTAATGTGGACTTCGGAGTATACTGAATTCTTCCCCCCTCAGTGAGGACATGAACCTTTGACTTTGCAAAATTGGTTGACCAGACATCGACCATAATAGATTCAACCTTATCTCAAAATGTAGACATGGTATAAGCAACTGACTTCTAAAAGTGTATAACGTTTATTTTGTGCACAAACAATAGCTGTAGTACTCAGCTATTTAAATGAAGGTGTAAACTACATACCGTATAGGGATAGCATTATTGATCATTAATATGTAGTCACCTCTGCAGGTCAAATTCAGCAACCATTTAAAAGGATGCACATTAACAGTTATTTAAGATCAGAGATGGAAAAATTCCATATCCAGATGAAATGAGAAATTTTAAACAAATTCAATTACTTAAATCAAAATTTAGTCAGCCTTATGAAAACTATCGGTATTTTTCATTCTGTACTTAATTTAATATTCATTTTTGTACCATTAAATTAATATATTATATGCATTATGCAATATTAGTATTTTCTTATTATATGTTTGTACAGCACCTAGCACATTAGGACCTTAATCTCAGAGGCTATGTCTAGACTACGTGGAAGATTTGAAAGAGGATATGCAAATTCTTCAGGATCTTACTCCGATCTCGCTTTTGAAAGTGAAAGTATTCGGGATGCAGCTTTTTCAGCAACCCCCCCTTTTTCAAAAAGCCATGTAAACCTAATCAACCCTCCGCCCCTATTTTGAAAATCCATTCTTCCTCAAAAAATGAGGTTTACGCAGCTTTTCAGAAAGGGGGGGTTGCCGAAAAAATGTGTCTAGACTACTTTCACTTAAAGTGAGAGCAGAAGAAGAAATTTGCATATCCTCTTTCGAATCTTCCACATAGTCTAGACATAGCTAGATTAGTCTCCTCTAGGCACTACTGCTATAAAAATAATTAATAATTTAGTATGATTGCTATATGATCATAATTTTTTTTATAATTTATATTCAAAACACATGTAATGTTTATTTTACATTTTTATAACGTGCCTATCACATATTTGTTACATTGAATGATATATTATAGGAATAATATAATTACATACAGTACCTTTTCTTCTTCCATGGTAAATGTCTTTGCTTGTAACTTCATTGCCAATAGTGGATAAAATTTAAAATAGTATGTCAACACAACATATACTAGAGGATTAATTTTATTTCTATACTTTGACAACAGAACATGACAGGATTAATTTTATTATTAGAGCAGTAGGATTAATCTTGTTCACATAAGCTGAAAACAGAATATAGTGAATAGTACATATAACAATGTAACTGGTTTACTTTTATCATAGTTCTACAATAGCAGCAAATGTCTAAACTAAAACCAACTTTTCCACATAAAACTGGAAAGAAAATTTTCTTCTCCTGTTAATTTTTTTTTCTGAGCTAGCATGTTGATTAATCTAATGCTATTGGATAAAATCCATCAGCACCATGAAAGGTGGCAGTCTCAAGCCCCATGACACTTACTCCAGAAATATTTTCAGTCCTTTTTGCTAAACCACTATATATAATCAACAAAAAATAACACAACTTTGATGAAAAAAAAAATCGAATGTACAAAAATAAAGTTACATACTGTAACTGTGATTGTTTGAGATATGAAGCAGATATGCACACACCTAGTGCACTGGAGCCAGAGAATTTTGCCTAGGAGTATCCGTAGGAAAAACAACACTCATGTCTTGTGGCCATAGCCCCTCTGTTGACTCCATGAGGTAGTACTGCCATAATCCCACTCAGTTCCTTCACTTTATATATCATAAGTAGGTGTAGTCTGGATTCCTGTCATGTCCATCTACTTTGTGCTATGTGGTGGTCAAGGAAGACATACTCTGCAAGGGAGGCCTCTATCACAATGGTGGCTCTTGGTATAGAAGGGCTTAAAGGGGTCCCAGTTATAAACATGGATGGACTGGATCACGAAATGAGAAAGGACAGAATACCCTAGGGTACCATGACCCTGGAATCCCTATGGCACTGGTTGTCTTGTAGGCACAATGAAGCTAGGCCTGTAGATATTACAGGTGAGGTCTCACAAGGGGTGTCACAGAAGTGTAGGTGGCCTTATGCCCCAAAAGAGAGGGGCACTGGTGCACCCTAGGCAGGGCTTGTATCAAATGGAGACAATCAGGGTGCATATTGTGGAGAACCAGTCCACTGTCTCACACCAAGAGCCCATCCAAAGTTACTGTCTACCTATGAGGAGTAATGTTAGTTAGAACCAAGGGGTTTGGTTCGAACTAACGCGTCCCAGCTCACACTTCCTAGTTCGACTCAGCTGTTGAGCGGAGTAACTCGCCGGCGAGATTATGCTAATGAAGTGCAGGATATTTAAATCCCTGCTTCATTAGCAATCTCGGTCGCCTATATTTGCATCCCTAGCTCGAACTAGGGAGCAAGTGTAGACGTACCCCTAGTGAAATAGTATTTTCTAATATCCAACCTAGACCTCCCTCACTGTAACTTGAGATTATTGCTCCTTGTTCTGTTATCTGTCACTACTGAGAAAAGCCTCTCTCCATCTTCTTTGGAACCCCCCTTCAGGATGTTGAAGGCTGCTATCAAATCCCCCTCACTCTTCTCTTCTGAAAACAAAATAGGCCCAAATCTCTCAGCTTCTCCTTGTATGTCACATGGTCCAGGCCCCTAATCATTTTGGTTGCCTTCCACTGGATTCTCTCCAAAGTGTCCACATCTTTACTATACGGGGGGCCCAGAATTGGACACAATACTCCAGAAGTGGTGTCACCAGTGCCGAAGAAAGGGGAATAATAACTTCTCTAGATCTGCTGGAAATGATCCTCCTAATGCACCCTAATTGCCATTAGCCTTCTTGGCAACAAGGGCACACTGTTGATTCATATTCAGCTTCTCATCCACTGTCATCCCCAGGTCCTTTTCTGCTGAACTACTACTTAGCCAGTTGGTTCCCAGCCTGTAACAGAACTTAGGATTCTTCTATCTACATTGTCCTTGATGAACCTCATTAGATTACTTTTCACTCAATCTTTCACTTTTCTATGTCACTCTGGACCCTATCCCTACCCTCCAACATATCTACCTCTTCCCCTAGCTTAGTGTCACCTGAAAACTTGCTGAGGGCACAATCCATCCACTCATCCAGGTCATTAATAAAGATGTTGTACAAAACCAGCCCCAGAACTGACCCTTGGGGCACTCCACTTGGCACCAACCAGACACCTAGAAACCTTTCTTGTTAGCCTTCACATCCCTTGCTAGCTACAATTCCAATTGCACTTTGGCCTTCCTGGTTACACCCCTGTGTGCTCAAACAATATAGTTATACTCTTCCCTAGTCATCTGTCCAAGTTTTCACTTCTTGTAAGCTTTCTTTATCATTAACTCACAGGCATTTACCTTCCTTTCCCCACGCCCTGCATCCCCCCTCTGTTCTGAAATGTGATTTGTCCTTTTCATATGTGTTCATTTTTTTAAATTGTATCCTTTGGTATATATGGTTGTGACTATTTTCTTCCACTATTTGATCTGAGGAAGTGGGTCTGGCCCACGAAAGCTCATCATCTAATAAACCATCTTATTAGTCTGTAAAGTGCTATATTTTCTCTTCTTACTGCACATCAGGATGGTATGTTCCTGTGACTTCAATAAGGCTTCCTTAAAGTCCTGACAGCTCTCCTGTTGGCATCCCAGTATTATTATCAGCATTAAAGAATCTCAGTTTCCTACCTGTTTTTTAAAAGCTGCCATGGCTTCTTTGTGTTGATTGGTTAATGCTTCTGTCTCATGCTGCAGAGTTTCCTGCTCAATGAAAAACAAATAAAAGGTTACTTATCTTCTCCTAACTATTGTTCTTCGAGTTGTGTTGTGCATGTCTATTTCAATCAGGTATGTGCACACGCATGCACAGCAGCCAGAAGATTTTTCCCCTGGCAGCATCAGTCAGGTCAACCTGGGAGCTCCCTACAGTTGCACCTCTATGTGTTCTACCAGTGCAGAGATTTCTCAACGGGAGTCCTAAGGCAGCAGCTCTGCAAACTTGGCCTTCATGCTGCAGGTGTTATACAAGTATTTTGATGGCCTGCTTGTTGGATATGTGGAGCTGCAGCTCCCCTGGTCAAATAGACCTTCTTCCCAAATAGGTCTAGTTTTTTAGCCTTATGATTTTTAAGGGAGAGTCCCTGGTAGTCCTGTCACTCATGATGATTGACTGCATCTACCACCAGGGAATTAGAGGGCAAATGGATATATAGGTATTCATACCCCTTTATGGGAACAAAGTGCCACCTTTCATTCCTCTTGGACATTAAAAGAAAAGAGGCCAGGATCTGCCGCAAGGAATTTTGATCTCACTGATGGTCTTTATCAGTGGCAGGGCAATGCAGGTAGGCCTGGAGGGAGCAAGGATATCCACGATGGGGTCAGCATCCTCTACCACCTTCTCTGCCTGGATCCCCAGATTCTGGGCTTCCCACTGCAGCAACTGTTGTAAGACCTTGCTGTCCTCCAAAACCAGGACCATCAATGTCCCTGTCCCAGCTTCATCTGAGGAGGATAATGAGGAGGACAAAAGCACTGGCAATGGGCCTTGTTCATTGCCCTTGGCACCAAGGGGGTCACATGCACTCAAAATTGTTGTGCCCCTGCCTCCACAGTATGTAGTGCTGTTGCCAGTGGTGCCAATGTTGACACCAGTGCTACGGATGAAGAAAGGGGCATTGGTGTTGCTGGTGGTGCCAGTGTCTATGGTGACTGCAGAGGAACAAAGGATGCCAATGTCACTGATGTAGAATTGGCTCTTGACTCCTGTCTCTGTTCCTGGGTCTGATGGTAAACCCAGGGAATCCAGACGGACCACCGAGTCAGGGGTTGCCACTGAGGCAGCCATGGCACTGAATAGGACTGGCAATCATGCTGGGACCTAGACCTTCTGCTCCTGGCTTTATCAGAACAGTAGGATTATTCCTCTAACTCTAAGTCAGTCTTCAGTGCTGGCTAGAAGTGCTGCAGATTGAAGGACCAGTGCGGCTCCCCAACATGGATGGACCATGCTAGGGAGAGGCATGCCAGAGATGGGAATAGGCACACCCCCTTGATGGAATCAGGGACACATAGTCACTGACGACTCTTCCCTCCTCTGTGAGAAGGACAGCGTTGTGAGATGTTTAAGGTCCTGAGCTGCCCTAAACATCTCCAGCATAGAGAAGAGCTGAAGCTTTCTGCCATGTCAGTCCAGATAGCAGTAAGGACCCAAAGGGGGCAGGAGTAAACGACACCTTGACAGAAGGCAGGGCTGCAATGATGTGGCACCTCTTGGGTCTCCCTGTTGTAGGCTCCTTGGACTTGGAAGTGGGAGAACGACCACTTTCTGGTCGTTTCTTCTTCTGAGGCACCAGGGATTCAAACCGATGCCTCACAGGTTGTCTATGGATGCAATACCGCCTCAAGTCTCACTGAAGTCCTTCTACAGTGCCAGCTCATGCATCATCAGTGCCAGCATACTCTACACTGATGAGAAGGTGCTGGGAAAAGACTCCACCAACTCCAGGTTAGATTGTGGCCAGAGTGCTATCTCTATGAGGAGGATCTTCACTCTTTGCTTCCAGTCTTTTAAGGTCCTAGGGCGCAACCCCTTACAGATCCTACAGCTCTCCTACTGGTGTTTCTTCCCAAGACACTTCAAACAGGAAGTGTGCAGGTCACTCCTGGGCATACATTTCCCTCAATAAACCCCAGGAACTGGGGAGTATTGAGAGGGGAGGAACTCCTGAAAAGAAACGTATAAACTAAACATTACTACTACAAAACTAACTATATACACTTAAAGTGGACCCTGACAAAAAAAAAGTGCTCATGAAGGCAAGAGCAATAGGGTGTTCCAGCTAGCCATCACTGGCAGTAAGAAGGAACTGAGAAGGTGCCAGGTCAGGAGGTGCAACTTCAGGGGCTCCTCCAGGAAATGTGAAGAATGCTTCAAGGAGAAAATATCTTCCAGCTGCCATGCATGTTAACACCTTATTGGAATTCACATGACCAAACATTCAAAGAAAAATACTTTAAAATTAGATCAAATTATAATGTACTTTAAACATGACTCTTACTATATCCTTTCAGTAAAAGTGGAATTATATTTTTAAGAAAAATATTGCTATTTTGATTACTTTAAGTAAGTTCTAGAATTACTTATCTAAAATTGAAGATCTTCAATGAGAAATGTCTTATCTGGAAATTTTCTACTAGCAGATTCGCTCCTAATTCATAACAAATGGGAAATGGCTCTCACCTGTGGAAGTAGTTGTTACTGGAGGCACCAGGATTAATCCCTACTCTTTACTACAGGCCACCAGAATTTTTTTTCCAAAATTGTAAAAACAGTTCAGCAACAGATTATCAGTATTAAAACAATTATTTGAACCTGTATGTATTACATATAATGGAATTTTATGTTTAACTCTCCATTTAGAGATTTTTTCCAGTTTGTTACAAATCGTATTCTGGTAATTTACCAGACTAACAGAGTGAATTAAATAAAGAGAGTAGTTATTAGCAGTGAAAACTATTAGATAAGAAATTTCTCATTGTGCTGCACAGGTCTGAAAGTAAAGGGGAAAGAATAGTATTTAATTTTAAATATTGCCTACTACAATAGAAAAATAGGCAGAAATGTAGATTCTTTCATATAAAGTAAAAGCTTTGTAATTTAAATAATTATCTGGGAAATCAACCCAGAATTACCTTCCTACCAAAGGACTACATCAGTGATATAATTTCTGTGTTAAATTCAGTCTGAACACAAAATGGATAAAAAATAAAGTTGTAAACCAAATTGGTTGGGAGAAATACAACTGCCAACATGCTCTACCATCAAAGATAGAATTTCTTGTAGCCTTGAGGGTATGTCTAGACTACATGGCTCTGTCGACGGAGCCATGTAAAATAGTTTACTTGGCATAGTCAATGAAGCGGGGATTTAAATAATTCCAGCTTCATTAAGATAAAAATGGCCGCCGCGCTGTGCCGACAATCAGCTGATCCGGCACAGCGCGGCAGTCTAGATGTGGCGCCGAGGCATACCAGAGAGGTCTACAAAGGCTTCCCTTGTTGACTGCACCGCGTCTAGACTGCCACGCTATGCCGGATCAGCTGATCGTCGGCACAGCGCGGCGGCCATTTTTATTTTAAAGAAGCGGGGATTATTTAAATCCCTGCTTCACTAACTATGCCGAGTAAACTATTTTACATGGCTCCGTCGATGGAACCATGTAGTCTAGATGTACCCAAAGTGAAGGTTGAAGCTTAGGCCTGAACTACCCAACATTAACAACTTTAGATCACCTCTGAATTCCACTGGTAAAAGGCATCTCCCATTTGTTTATGAATGAGGGAAAAAAACTATGCAGGAGAAAGGTAGCATCTTTTTGTTTGTCCACATATTTATTCGTTCATAATATGATAATATAATTTATAGATTTTTATCTTTCAAAATTTTGGTGCACAAAATGTACTACATAAACGGATATTAAAAATATACATCCATTCGTAAAACAAAAATCAGGAAAGGGTGACTGAATTTGAACTCAGAACCTATCACCATAAAAAGAATAATTCCTTAGCTGGTGCTCATTTGAGATTTTGTAGTAAACACAGATCCCACTGTAGCTATTTCTGAACCTCATCCTTGGAATCTTTTGAATAGGTGTGTCTAGGGTTGTGTACATGAGCTCTTCACATGATCCCACACAAGAATATAAAGGGAGAAGCAGTTTCAAACATCCCTCAGTTGCACTGTAACTTCAAGCCCCTATAAGCAGAGGCCTCCAAAAGTGGGAATAGAGAGCAGATCTAGATCTCTTGAAAAAATACAGTTATTTTATGGTCTCAGAGGGATGTTAGTCTATATCTGAAAAAATATAGGAATCCTTTGGGCACATGAGGGCTGGTCTACATCAGGGCTACATCTATACTGCGCTGTTTTGCACAAGAAATATGCAAATGAGGTGAAGCATGGAATATCACTGCACCTCATTTGCATAATTAATGAACAGCCGCTTTTTGTACAAGAGGCTTTTGCGCAAAAAGGAGCCATCTACACAATACACAGTTCCTTTTTGCCCCAAAACCCTCTCTTGCGCAAGAGCCGTTCTTCCACATTTTTTTCAGCACTCTGTGTGACTAGTTTGTGACCTGTTTGGGAAAGGTCTCCAGTTGAGGGCTGTAGGTAGCCCTGGTTTTGAGCAATGTGCCCTGAGCGGACGCCCTCAGCGGTGTCCAGATGCAGCCCGGTCCGTCACAGGTGACCAGTCAACTTGTTATGGATACCCGGCTGATACGAGACCTCCAGATGTATGTCATGAGAAAATATACAAAATCCCACAGCTTGATGGCCTCTCAACATGTAGTGAAGAGTGGGCTCTTCCCTGCTTGTTTACATAAAACATTGCCATGGTGTCCATTAGGGCTGAAACAAGATTTCCCTGGATGCGAGGGCAGAACGTGATGCAGGCCAGTAAAATTGCTCAGAGCTTTTCACATTAATATGCAACTGAATTTCAGCCTGAGTCTATAGGCCTGGTGTTTGAAGGTCGCCTAAATGGGAGCCCAACCCATTGTGGACACGTCCATGAGAAGGACCAATATCGGTTATGGTGTGGAAAAGGGGACCCTGGAGCAGACATTCTCTTGGTCCAGTCATAAATGAAGTGAGGTGAGGACTTCAGGAAGCACTGTGACTACCAAGCCCAAGTGATACCGACTCGGTTTGTACCCTTGGGCTATCCATGCTTTCCGAGTCCTGGATGATA